GAAACGTTGTACATTTGCTGTTATATTAAAGTTTTTCTTCATTACCCATTCAAGCCGTCTCCAGCCATTACATGTACACAGAAGTTTTTTTCATGATGCAACATGTACACAACATTTATTTTGTTGGTTCTTTCACATGACCATTAGTTTTGGTGTCATAAACTTGTTATAAGTTGTATTTCTTAATTACACAAGTTTACTGATTTGCCATTTACCCCTTAAGAGAAAAGGTTTACTTTACAAAATTACTCAAGTTTAAGATTTTCTTATTTTCTATATATTTTTAAAGTTATAAAATCTGTTCTTGTGATGTTTTTCATTCCACGAGATAAGACATTGTTTAGGCTTGTTTTTCTCTTTTTTTATGGTATTTAATATTGACATAGAATCTGGCTAGCTGTCATATAATTAATCCAAAATATTTATAAATACTTATAATGTTTTGTATGTTTATACTTTTTAACGCCTGCCACATGAGCCAGCCCAGCATCTTGATATGGATCCAAAAAATGAATCATTCTAGAAAGGTTTGGGTTGTTTTGATAAGACAAAAAAAAAAGATGTTTGGTACTATTTTCTACGTCTAGGATGCTGGAATAGAGCCATGACCTGACCCAAGACCATTTAAGCAAACATGGAGAAGTTAACTTGTGTAAATATAAAGTAAAATGATGTAGCAATGAAACATGCTTGACATTTTCTAGATGTAGTTGTGGATGTGATGGTTTAAGTATAGCGATTATGCCAAACTGTGGGTCCAACTCAGATGAGGGAAGAACATATTCAAAGATATCTCAATAGATTTGAAATACCAGCTGAATCAAAAATTCATCATTTAATTACTGCCCTGACAGTGAAACATAAAACAACAGGCACAATAGTATTGTTATCTACAAAAAGGGGGATTGAAATCATTAGTGTGAATATTGTGTGAAACTAAAGGCACAGTAAAGCTCAAAGATGCAGTGTTGAAGTTGAAGCAGATCTACAATGCATTATAAGATGATTCCCTTGCAATTCTCATATTAAAAATGCCATTTCTACAATGAAGAGTAAATATAAGAAAGATGGCATAATGTCCAGTATGGTACCATCATAGTATAATCCATCGTGTCATATTTTCATTAATATTTTGTTTCGTTTTAGAAGTTGTGTTGAGCTTCATTTATTGAGATATATTGAAATAATATCCTAAATCACTGGTTTCCAGTATCCCCCCCGGTTGACCATACTAGGTTCCAGACTAAAATATGTTGGGCTGTCTCGTGTGGCAGGTGTTAAATATTTGATCAGACTTTTTGTTTTTTGAGAGAGAGAGGTTGTTTTTATTCCCTGTATGTCATTAAATAGTTTATGTAGTAGACTGTGGAAACTAAATATGACATTTAAGAAGTTATATATATATATATGTGTGTGTGTTAAATCAGCACTATAAAACAATAATGAATTAAATACTGCATTACTGTTATTGGTCCAGGTTGCTTGTCTGACAATAACTTGACAACCTGGACTGATAACGATAATGCTATATATATAATCTTAATATAAATAATGCAGTATTATTTTCAGTAAAATATTGTGTTGATTGTGTTACAGACTGCATTTCCCATTATTGACACTCTTGACCCCAATGGTTTCATCATGTATAGACTGTTCAGAGATGCTACTCGCTACATGGAAGGTCATCATGTGAAGGTAAGAAATAAAAATCATGACTGGCTTTTTTAAGCTTTCTAACCCTATAACTCATGCTACTATTTTTATATTCCTTTTTGGACGTGTCACAAAGTGTAACTGAGTTACATTCATGATTTAATTAAGCCACTTTACTATTAATGAAATTAGCATTATCAAATACTTTATAATTCAAAATGTTTTTATTATCCAAGTTATTATTCCTTTATTTCATAATAAAACTCTGAAACAAACAAATCTTCAGTTGTCTTGTTGCTTATGTATCTTTACAGCTTAATCTCAGTACCTCTACGACAGTCTAGGCAAGCTTCTACAAATACTAGGTTAAATTTCAGACACATTAGTTTTGTATGTCACCAGCTAGAATTCTTAAGAAATTGTTATACCCCCCCCCCCTCCCACACACACATAACTGGTAGATGCCAGGCTCACATTCCAAAGTTATCTGTTGCTAAGCAACAGTGTTTTGTATATTTGAATGGGAAGAAAGAACAGATTTTGTGGTTAGTCTCTCCAGGCTTAAAGGAGATGTAAATAAAAAATTATTTTTCAAATGACAAGCAAATTTCTGTTTATATCTGTTGTGGATATGAGTGTCCCTGGTGCTTGGCTATTTTTCTTGCCTTATACTTATTAGTTTGATAGACAGTTAAATTGCATTTAGATTTTACTTTTATATTTTAGTTAATTATGTGTATTTGCATTTTAAAATTCATATTTCAAAGGTTTAAGGATTTTTTTACTTATATCTGTGGTTGTCTAGCTCAGGAATGCTTATAAAAAATAAGGTGTATGCAAGTGCCATTTTGCATACAGCAAATGCGTTTCTGCCTGGAGTCTTCCAATTATAACTTCATAATGGCCTGTGGGTACCAGATGACATATTGACATAAATAATAAAAGACAAAAAATTGAAAAGGAAACTAAAACATTAAAAATAAACTATGACACATATAACCTAATGAAGATATTTTAAGACTATTGTGTGAACTTCATAAGGTAAGTACAAATTTCCATTTCTTAATTTAAAACATTTCATTGCACATTGATAATAATAGCTAGAGCTAGTGATACAGTAGAAAAAATGGAAAATAAAATATGAAACCTTTAAAAAAACTTATGCTATTCATTTAGAAGGTTCTAGAAATTATGCATATGTTTAAATCTTCTTTAATTGTATTAATTTTAGTGTGGTACATTTACTTTTATATGTTTACAGAATTACCCAGTAGTGAAATGTTCTATAGTCATAATCTATTGTCAAGTTAACAGTTTAACATGTACCTACTCTATAAGGATATGTTAAATTTCACTGCCAGTTCTTTCTTTCTTTCATTTTAAGATTAAAAATACTTTTATGCATCAGA